TTTAGAAATACTATAAATGACATTTTTGTCACTGTATTGCATTTGTGTGTTTATGTATGTTTGGGTAGGAATATAAAACTTTGGCATGTAACTTGATGTCTAATGTCAAATCTGGGTCCATAAAGCAAAAACACATTTGAATCCAAAGTCAATGACAGAAGAGTATTTTTATTTAATTTGGTTATAACATTAACAGCTAGAATTCTAATAACAGAGCAGGACATACAGTGCATCCTATGTGGTCAGTGAAAAAAGAAGCAACAACAGATTCTGGTTGCTGGTAAAACTGTTACATAAAACAACATTTTCCTCATAAGTAATGATCTTTTGTCAGCAAATATATATTCTTGCTAATATATACATTACAGCAAAATAAATAAATCATAAAAAAATCCAGAACTTCCAGAAATTCAAAAACACAGGACTAGTCCGTACAAAACTTTGGAATTTAAGACCATGTTTAGAATACAAATTGAACTGTGTGGAAGCAAACAATTGAAATTTAGATGCAGTGATGTACACATAAAAACTTGAAGTATTGATTTTGTAGTTAGGGGTGGATCATTATGTTAAATAAAGCTTTGTGGAACGCTGAATAGGGCATGTGCTTTGAAATGATCCATGATTGATGAGAGATTAAATCAGTGTGAGATGGGCAAGAGGAAACTTGAGTTAATTTTCTTTTGAGGAAAGATCTGTGAAAAGAACTTCTGCCAAAGAATTTTACAAGCTGGGGTTTTATCTCTGCCTTCTCACATTTCCCTGCAATATTAGACCGACTTATAGTTAATATTCAGAGAATGTTTACTAGTTACAATTTTTTTTTAAAACTGTAATTTCATAATTGTGAATCGACCATAGGTATGATCACAAAGTTTTCTTCAGAAAGTTGGTTGTATATCATTTTTCGATGCTACTTTGTCAAAATATAATGTGGCTTTTAATAACACAATATGCATCTTAAATTTTCATACATTACATGTTTTATAAGCTATTGTTCAAAAGGACTCACAAAAGTGTTAGAATATCTCTATTTGGTAATGAACACAAACTTTCTATCTATCAAGATTCCATTAGTAGAAAACTTCACATTTTAGTTCTTAACTATGCTTACACAGTGTCTTTCACAGAAAGAAGAAAACAAAGAGTCATGCACATATACAGACACATTTTCAAGACACGTACAGTAGATTTACACAGAGAAACACAAATGCGCAAGCACATAATCACGCATAAATATAACAACAAACCTGTTATTAGTTAGCAGCATTATAAATGAGAGTAGTTCATTTAGTTTCTGCACTGCTGCTAACTTTCTAACTTTCATGTAGGGAAAAACGGGGTTCCTTGTCAGAAACCACATTCTCTGGAATACCATGAATCCAGAAGACATGGTCTACAACCACTCAGGCCATCTCCCTGGCATATAGGAATTTGGGAAGAGGAATGAAGTGGACCGATTTGGAGAGATGTTTCGAAATGTGGGAATAACAGTATTGCTGCTGGTTAGAAGGAGACCGTTGACAAACTTGTTTTGAACACAAAATGAGCATATGCCCAGACTTAAGGACATCATCTGTCATGGCCAGACATCAAAAGTGGCCCGAGATCTCCTTACTCCCAATCTGGCAGACAAGTTTGGAGGAATGTGTCCTCACTTGAAGACCACAGAGTGAACCTACCCAGGAACGAAAAACTGACCCGCTGGACAATTCCCCGGGTCACCTAGACTCTGCTCAATGCTGCCTTCTGTGACCCTCGATAACCCAGGATATGGCCCCCATCACTCTGCCCTGAGGCAAGATGGTATCTGGATGTAGAACCCCCGAGAGCTCCTGATTGCAAGACAAGAGAGACATTAAACATTTTATGTGTTCATATCTTTGTTTATGACTGGGAAATTATTATTTATTATTATTATTTATTGCTGTTGCTCATATTTCGATTTGAACTAACCCCTAAACCTAAATATAAAACTTTGGCATGTAACTTGATGTCTAATGTCAAATCTGGGTCCATAAAGCAAAAACACATTTGAATCCAAAGTCAATGACAGAAGAGTATTTTTATTTAATTTGGTTATAACATTAACAGCTAGAATTCTAATAACAGAGCAGGACATACAGTGCATCCTATGTGGTCAGTGAAAAAAGAAGCAACAACAGATTCTGGTTGCTGGTAAAACTGTTACATAAAACAACATTTTCCTCATAAGTAATGATCTTTTGTCAGCAAATATATATTCTTGCTAATATATACATTACAGCAAAATAAATAAATCATAAAAAAATCCAGAACTTCCAGAAATTCAAAAACACAGGACTAGTCCGTACAAAACTTTGGAATTTAAGACCATGTTTAGAATACAAATTGAACTGTGTGGAAGCAAACAATTGAAATTTAGATGCAGTGATGTACACATAAAAACTTGAAGTATTGATTTTGTAGTTAGGGGTGGATCATTATGTTAAATAAAGCTTTGTGGAACGCTGAATAGGGCATGTGCTTTGAAATGATCCATGATTGATGAGAGATTAAATCAGTGTGAGATGGGCAAGAGGAAACTTGAGTTAATTTTCTTTTGAGGAAAGATCTGTGAAAAGAACTTCTGCCAAAGAATTTTACAAGCTGGGGTTTTATCTCTGCCTTCTCACATTTCCCTGCAATATTAGACCGACTTATAGTTAATATTCAGAGAATGTTTACTAGTTACAATTTTTTTTTAAAACTGTAATTTCATAATTGTGAATCGACCATAGGTATGATCACAAAGTTTTCTTCAGAAAGTTGGTTGTATATCATTTTTCGATGCTACTTTGTCAAAATATAATGTGGCTTTTAATAACACAATATGCATCTTAAATTTTCATACATTACATGTTTTATAAGCTATTGTTCAAAAGGACTCACAAAAGTGTTAGAATATCTCTATTTGGTAATGAACACAAACTTTCTATCTATCAAGATTCCATTAGTAGAAAACTTCACATTTTAGTTCTTAACTATGCTTACACAGTGTCTTTCACAGAAAGAAGAAAACAAAGAGTCATGCACATATACAGACACATTTTCAAGACACGTACAGTAGATTTACACAGAGAAACACAAATGCGCAAGCACATAATCACGCATAAATATAACAACAAACCTGTTATTAGTTAGCAGCATTATAAATGAGAGTAGTTCATTTAGTTTCTGCACTGCTGCTAACTTTCTAACTTTCATGTAGGGAAAAGTTAGAAAAAAAAACATTAATTTTGGTCATGAATTCACATATACTGGCTATTAAATGCAAACGTGAAAAATACGTGAGTAGTACAATTGTGAATAAAAACTAAATAATTCATTTTGTCATAGCAGAAACAAAACCTATAATCAGGGTCCAAAATTAACCTTTTACCAAACAAAATTAAAATCTGTGGCCATGATGATTATTTTCAATAATTATATACTCACACTGGACACTGGACGAGGGTTAATTTTGGACCCTGCATGAACATTTACATTAATGCATTTAGCAGATGTTTTTATCCAAAATGACAAATGAACAGTGTTTCAGCTACTGAATAAAGGCACAATTACCTTGTATATTCATTCTGAAATGTAGTGGACCTCTCTGTTTGTGAAATATCAATAATACTGTCACACACAAATAAGGAAAATTAATATCATGCTCCATTTGAAGATAGAAGTGCTCACATCTGCTTGTTTTAGCTTTTATAGAATATTGATCTTTGGGGAAAACTGGGTGCTTTCACACTAGCACTTCTGGTGCACAACTGGGTTAGTTTGAAGTCAGATTTCAGCTTGTTTGGATGATGTGATTGCTGTTTTCTGAACTCAGGTGGTACGAGTCCACAAGTTAAATTTACTGCAGATATTAACCCAATCGTCCTAAATTGCTTAAGTGAACCTCTATTGATGTTGTATAATATAGTCAAATTATGTGATTGTGTGTGTGTGATGATCTAAAATGAAAAAAAAAATATCTATATCTATATCTATATCTATATATAGGACTGACACACTGCAAGCAGACGTTCTTTGGAACCTTTGCAATACATTCGCGAAAACAGCTGCTGTTTTGATACAGTGTGAACACAATCCAGTAGGGGCAGAGAAAAAGGGAAGCAACTGAACTCTGGTTTGGACCAAGCAATCAAGTATAATTATAATGGCACTCTAAACAACATTATATAGAAGAGGTCTTGATATGTGCGATGAGTTCTAAAATCATATCAACATAACAATGACATATAGACAATGCATGGACATTCACTCAGATACAAGTGCATTCGTAACCTAACGTTAGTAACTTACAATAAACTCAAACTAATGCATAAGTTCAGTGTTTGGTCTTACACACAGAGACAACATGACGTGTATTATATTTTGTAAAGGAATTTGTTAATCGGTTGTTTGCTGGTATTCAGGAATGTTGGAATGCACTTTGTATTAAAAAGATACAAATAGCTTCTTTAATGGTGTTAGTAGTAAGGCTATCGTTAATAATGCAACTATCACCACATTTCAGAGGCAATTATGGGCAAACCCTGGTATTCAGTTTGTGCTGCATTTGTTGTTACATTAGTTGTCCCATCTGGGTTTGCTGCCATGTGCCAACAAAACCTCTCCCTTTGAAAGGTTTTCTGTTCTTTTATTGGAGACACAACTGGTCAAGGTCCCAAGGGCCTCTAGTAATCTGATGCATCACTTATCCCCTCTTGTATCAGACTGGAAATGATAAGTCCCTTCCAGAGCTGAGCCACAAGCCTGTAGTTGTCCTCAACAATGGAGAACCAACCCTTTATGGGTTTTTCTTTTTGTTTGTTGAAACAGCATTCTTTGAAAGTGTTCTAGAATTACTTCACTGTCCACTGTATCCCTTTTTGGTGATTATCTTATTAGTGGAACCACAAACAACTCAATTCAACTCAGTCCACAGGTTTTGGACAAAAGGCCCCAAATGTCTGATCCAATCTGGTTTTGGTTTGGTGGTTTCTTACTTGCAGGCGTGGACATCATAAACTCGTGTACACTCCTGGCAACTCACGTAGCAGCACCAGTGAAAAATGCAGTGGCATTTCTCCTTGCGTTTCTCAGTTTGAGTGTCGTGGCCTCGGCCGCAACAGAGCAAGTCGCAGCCATCGATACCATGTGATGTCAGGTTACATATACGATCGCGGGTGCCAAAGGAGCCGGTTTCTGGGTTGGGTTCACAGAAGTTAGGTGAACTTTCATAGTAGACAAGGTCAGTTTCAGTAGGGGGCTTGAAGAAGGTGTACTTTGGTCGTAAGGTCTCGACCCAGCCTCGCGATTCCCGATGTTTCTCCACCACCATTTCTGATGAGCTGTCATACTTGTCCTTCATGTAGTCACCTATCATCCGAAAGTCAGGCTGCGACCACCAGCAGGTTTTCACCTCACAGCTGCCTGAAAGGCCGTGACACTTACATTTCAGGTACATGCGGTCAGTGATTGACTAGGGGAAAAAGGAAAACAGAATATTGATCTTAGCATTAAGATTCTATATGATATTACGCTTAGGAGCAATTCAAGAAAGAAAGCACTTCTGCATTTGGATGTTGGTCCCTTGGTTTCCCGACCAGGCATTCGTAACTGTTTTGAATAGTAAGGCTTGTTTGTTCACCAGCAAGCAGCATAAACTAACCTGAGTATATACTACCTCTGAGCATAAACTAATCGACCAGCAAGCAGACTAAACTAACCAGAACTAGAGTGAAAAAGAATTTTGGTCTTTTCATCAGGAAAAAAGTGCTCACCACACGTCCAGCTTCGTTGTTGTGACGATTCATAGCTGAGCGAGCGTCTGGACGATTCTCACGAGCATCAGCGAACTCTCGGGATACCATGCTGCCAAACTCCACATCCTCACTGCAGCCACCCCACTTCCAGCCCTCACCTGGCGGTCCTTTCCTCCGCGTGTCACAGCCGCAGATGGTGGCGGAGCCCTCGGAGCAAGCCCGTGTCACAGCGAACGCTACCCCCGCTGAGGCAATTGCATGGACAAATGCTGATTCTCGAGTGGCTATGGAAATGGACAGAGAAAACAAGCATATGTTATACCTCAGGATGTCTATCAAAGTTATTGTTAATTTGGGAGATATAAGTTATTTGTTCTGACATTATTGTTACTATTAAACTACTTAATTTAATTAAACATCTTAGCACTTATGAGCGTGTAGTTAAATTTGTAGGTAAGGCAGTTCACTCAGGTCTCACTGTGGACATGGTGGCGCATTACTGAGGCATGAGTCAGGGAAGACCAAACATATCCTTCCAGATGAGGTAAATACAAGGCTGACAAGTCTATAATTAGAAAGACTCAATTAAGCAACTCTGAGGTGGGGAAATAGGCCTGTATTACTCATAGCTAAGACTCACTGTCGAATTGTGGTTACAAGACCCAACGCGTTACTTTCAGAATTAATTTGAAGAATGAACAATGCAAGTTTAGGTTGATTATAATCTCAAAGATGATCCAACATTCTGTCTAACAGGGGATTTTGTGACGATTCTTGCTGACGAGGGCCCCATACAAACTTAAAAGCGATTTATAACAGACAGCTAATGAGGGTTGGTAATTTTGATGAATACTCTGTGGTCTTGTGCAGTCTTGCACTTGCAGGAGAGAGGAAATGGCTATGGAGACATTGTGAATCAAGTCTTCCTTTGTTGCAGGTTTCAACTGGTTAGAGAAATCAAGGCTAGAGATAATAATGCTGCAAAACTGGCCACAAGTCTTTTTTATTCCACAATGCTAATTATAATGACAAAAAGATCATTTGGAAGCTTTGATTGAAATTACCATCCAAAACAATGCTTCTTTGTTATTGACTACAAAAATATTAAAACCTATATCAGTTGATGGTCTTTACTGTAGCACAGATGCCTTTGATTCCTCTTGCTCAAACTAGCAAATTCTGCTTCCATATCCATCAACTAAATCACATTGTAGTTGGTGGTACAAATAGTTGGGTCTGAAAGGGCCATTCAATTACAATTTAAAACCCACTGAGTGACCTGTGTTTTATGATCAGGAAGCCAATAAAATGTGGGTCAAATACGGCTGGCCGACAATAACATGGCAGACTGGTTGGGGGAATAAAGGAGAGACAGCGTTGGGGGAAAGTGGGGGCAGATTAATATACAGAGGAAGAATGGATCAAAAATGGATAAATGGGAGATACGGAGACACTTTTGAGTGGTACGGGGTCTTTACCTGAGAAAAGAATGCAGGAGAAGCCAGATTATACTGATTATTTGTGACAACAGTTGCCCCCTGCTGCCCACCTTCTGGCTAACTTTGCTGGACCCTCACATGGCAAGTGGTCCCTGTTACCTGCTGGGACCCTGAATCCCTCATTGTGCTGCCACTGTCATGGTGAATTACACACACAAAAGCCCCCCGATATTTTATATGAAATTTGCCCTTGCCAGTGATAAGTGGGGACCAAGTTAAGTCATAGCAACAGAGAACTATGCATTGGCCAGACCCCACTTGTCGGCAGACGGGGAAATCCCCATTGAAATGGTTTCATAAAACAATCTAAAGGGCGTGTGAATTGTGAAAGGAGCTTTCTCTCTGGCTTAATCTTATGGTCGCCCAGATATTGTGTGGTGAGTTGGGCCCAGCAGGAGGCGGGGCTAAGGTCCCACCATCAACTCCGTATGCCACACCCCATTCTTTCTTTCTTGGGCAGAGTTAATGATATACTGGTGAGCAGACCTCCCCCGGCACAGTTAAACATGCATTTGATGAAAGGCACGGTGCTCTCAGTACATCCTAAATTGTAACAGTTTCTCCTCCTCAGGGCAGAGGTCATAACCTGGGTTGCCTGACCTCATGAAAAGTTGGTTTAGGTGAGGGTGTTAGCATTAAGAGTCATGGGATTCCTTTACTTCATTTTGTGGTGGTGGGCAACATGGTGGATGCCCCTGAGGAATTCCAATGAAAAGGCTTTCCTTGACACCCAGATGTAATTTTATTGCTTGTTAAATGTCTGAGGAAATTGCAAGGAAAGGCAATTTTGAACAAATATCACAAAACAATATGGTGGTAAGACAATGTATGTAAAAGGCCACAAAATCTTTTCAGTTTAACGGTCTAATTTCAGTAACAACAAAAATCTTGAGTGACATTAAGAACAAGTTAATTCTGGTGTCCAATTACAGCTCGCATGCGACTGGCAACGTTATCTGCTGTAGGTGTGTTCAGCAAGCTCTTCTAGAACACCTGCGCTGACTCTCCTTTCATCGCGGATTCCAGTGGGCCGTGTTTTGACACTTTGGTTAATGTAAATTAATGAGCATTGATGCAGACGTAGCCTGAGGCAGCACTGTGAAGGTAATAGATGAGGATGAGATTGGAGAGGTAGTTTACCATTACAAAACAATGCAACACTGTAGGCAACAAATACACAGTTTTATGAGAGGTACAAAGCGAGCAAAGCTAGGTGGCAAACCTGACTTTCCATGCATAAGTTTGTGAAGAAACCAAAGAAAGCTGTCAAATGGTCAGTAAAAGTATTAAAGTAAAGGCCTTTAAAGGTGCACTTTCCACCCACAATTTGAAACATAATGGCTGGTTTTCAGACAGGTTTCCAGAAGACTCCCCCCATCTGCCAAACAACAAGCAAACAGGTCTTGTCCTAAGTTACATGATTAGTTGAGCCAATGTCAGGTTGATCGGGATGCTGAAACAAACAGAACATCTTCTGATAGCCCCACAGGGCCAGACTACCACTGGAAAAAGTAGATTTCTGAATGCTGAATGCCGAGGAAACATCATCCACATCTGCTGAAATTGACAGGGCAGATCTCAGACATCTGTGGGATTGTCGGTAACAAGCCGCTGAAGACCTATTAAAGATCAGTGCTCCATTCAGCCCAGCACAAAACAGAAGAGGAAACTGACGCACATCCGTCTGCGAAGCAGACATTAACACCAGCGCACAATAGCACTAGCTCCGCAAAAGTGACAATGTAAGTCACAAAGGAGCGAAAGTGAGAGGTGCTCTTCTCTAAGCTCTGTGAAAAGCTTCTGAGCTTCGAAGCGGCCCTTAAACCGCCCCCAACAAAGCACTTAATCTGCCTGCTTTGACCTCTCGCATTATGAAGAGCTTCAGAAGCTTTAATCCAATCAAAATGATTTACTAAAGCCACCCCTGGACCCCGATGACTGACCTGGTTCAAACTCCCATCACCCGTGTCCCTGACCAATCTCCCCTTCAATTTAGACCGGAGGAGGGGGAACTGCAGGGGATATGGAGTGGCTATTAACACTACAATGGAGAAGACCTGAGTAGTCCTCCCATCATCAGTGGCCTGCTTGGGCTCAAGCCCTCTCCATCAATGTAACAATTGCTTGAGAGTTTATTAAAAGCAATTGGCACTGCTGACACCACCTCCCGCCGTAACCGGTTTTCAGTATTCATCCCACCTGCAGCCTCTCGAAGCGCTCGATGGGCTCCTTGTACCCTGACCGCTCATTTCTCCTGGACACTGTGAGAGGGCTAAACTGATACAACTTTGAATTGATATAACTTTTTCATATTCCCCTCTCATTTTCATAATGAGAGGGGAATAAAAACAGCAACAGGAAGCCAAACGCTTCTCATATACTCTTTCCAAATCTCAACATACCAGAGCAATATCCACTGACTGCAGTGTTGGGGCGAAACGATTTAAAAACCTTACAATATTCTTCGGTACAATAGCTCAGCTGTTTTAAAAACGGAGGAATTTTTCCAGTAGCTACTCCACAAGGTGCTTCTTACAAAGTGTAGTGGTGTTGTGTGACGAAATGTCACATTGCTATTTTGTAATATTGTATTGCACACACAGCTTAAAACCAAGGGAACTGGTTATAAAATCAACCCCCCCCCCCAAAAAAAATACCCAAAAAACCCTTTTTCGCACTGCTGACACCACCTCCCGCCGTAACCAGTTTTCAGTATTCATCCCACCTGCGGCCTCTCGAAGCGCTCGATGGGCTCCTTGTACCCTGACCGCTCATTTCTCCTGGACACTGTGAGAGGGCTAAACTGATACAACTTTGAATTGATATAACTTTTTCATAATGAGAGGGGAATAAAAACAGCAACAGGAAGCCAAACGCTTCTCATATACTCTTTCCAAATCTCAACATACCAGAGCAATATCCACTGACTGCAGTGTTGGGGAGTAACGATTTAAAAACCTTACAATATTCTTCGGTACAATAGCTCAGCTGTTTTAAAAACGGAGGAATTTTTCCAGTAGCTACTCCACAAGGTGCTTCTTACAAAGTGTAGTGGTGTTGTGTGACGAAATGTCACATTGCTATTTTGTAATATTGTATTGCACACACAGCTTAAAACCAAGGGAACTGGTTATAAAATCAACCCCCCCCCCCAAAAAAAATGACCTAAAATGCCCTTTTTCTTATAGAGTGCTAGCCGTGATGATAAAACCCGGGAGACTAATTCACCAATGGTTCCCTCCAGATTTTCCTATGTTTTTTTATCATGGAGCTCTTCAATTTATTTGTAAAACAAGGTCTGTGGTAAATATAATACGTTTTGCTCTACAACGTAAATTAAACACTCATGGATGTGGAATCATTGTACACCAATATAGATCATGAAGAAGGTCTTGAAGCATTATCACATTATCTAGAAATGAGATCAACTTTTGAGAAACCACCGGCTTGTTTTACTTTACAACAGAATGGACATTGAAAAATAATGTTTTTTTGGTCCCACTTTATATTAAGTGGCCTTAACTACTATGTACTTACATTTAAATTAATCCTTTGGTACAATGCACTTATTGTGTACATACATGTTTTTACATTGTACTTATAATTTAAAAATACCTGCATGTAATTACATCTGTAAATAATTTCTGTAATTAAATTTATTACCCAAACCACCAAACCTGTCCCTAACTTTACCCATATCCCACCTCAATAGCAGCAAAAGTGTTTGCAATACAATATGAACACAATAAGTACTTATTTTTGGAAGTAGGTACATAGTAGTTAAGGCCACTTAATATAAAGTGGGACCTGCAAATTTATTTTTGGGATTTTGGGAAAATAGATTTGTATTTTCTGATTCCAATCCATATTTAGAGAATATTGTGGTGTGGTGGGGAAGACATCATTTTGATATGGTCGGGCTCAGAGGTAGATCTGTTGGCTTTTCATTCATATTTATTATGAATAATTTCATAATTTTTTGGACTTAAAAATATTTAAGGATAATAAAGGAAAATTGCATACAACTATTTTTAGAAAAGAAACTTAAGAGCAGACAGTTTTCATCCCCCATGGTTGACAGACAACATCCCTTTTGGACATTTCAGAGGTTAAAAAGAATTTGTGATAAGGAGGAGGATTTTGATATCAAGGCCAAAGATATGATTCAAAGATTTAAAGAACGAGGATATAAAAATGATCATGTGATCTATAAGGCATATAATAAAGCTAAAAACATCAGTAGGGATGAATTATTGGTATAAAGACAAAAATCAAGTCATTCTGAAAATTTCGTGACACAATACAGTATAGAGGCAAATAAAATCAAGAAAATTGTAAAAACTAATTGGGAAATCTTGATGAGTGTTCCTCACCTTAGGGAAGTTCTCCCTGAATCTCCTTCTAATGAGTTTAGAAAAGGACCAACTATTAAAGATAAATTGGTGAAAATAATTCTCTTTGTGTTGTTTTTACACTTAATCAGGTGACTGTGTCATATGACAAATTGATAGTTCTGAATGTGTTTGTAGCTTGACACCCTGATGAAGGCTTGTTAGCTGCAACGCGTCTGTGTACTTGTGAGTTGTTTTTAATGTAAAACCGTGTGAGATAAAGGCTTTTTATTTTTCATTATATTTTCGAGTGCCTAGGCGTTATGAGTTTTTTTGGACAAATTAAGAAATCCTGCATCCAAACTAAAGAGCCCCAATTTATGGACTTTATACCATATATTTGCATTTTTTTATGTATAGAGAAGTTATGTTTAGTATAGACCTTAATTTACAATTTATTTAAAACCCCACAGCAAAATCTCAGTTAACCCATGTTGAATTAGTCTTTTAGGTTTTAACATCACGGCTGAAAGGGATAGTTCGCCCCAAAAATGAAAATCATTGTTCCAAACCTGTATAAATTTCTTTCTTCTTCTGAACACAAAAGAAAATATTTTGAAGAATGTTGATAACCAAACAGTTGACGGCAGCCTTTGATTCCATGGTATTTTTTTTAAATATATATACTATGAAAGTCAATGGCTACCATCAACTGCTTGATTACTTGTGGATGAGTAAATTAATTTTCATTTTTGGGTGAACTATCTCTTGAAACACTAATGAGAAGGCTGATTCATTTAATGAAGCAGTTTGTTTTTAAATCAGTAAAAACTGGTTTACTGCAACATTTCATGTATTTTAGGATATGACAACGAAATATTACTAGGGTACAGTCATTTAAATATTAACATGTACTTAATTGCGGCTTTTCTTCACTATGTTTTGACTAAGTTATGTAATGTTAATAAATAGGTCACATGATAGTTTCAAAACCAATTCTTGCTATTAACTAGTTGCATATTAGCATGCATATTACTAGCATATTAGTTGTTTATTAGCACATATTAATGCCTTATTCTGCATGACCATATTTTAGATCCCTTAATCTCTACCCCATACCTAAATTTAACAACTACCTTACTAACTATTAATAAGCAGCAAATTAGGAGTTTATTGAGGCAAAATCATAGTTAATAGTTAGTTAATATTGAGAATTGATTCCTAAACTAAAGTGTGATCAAAAATATTAACGTACACACAAATGCCATTTACATCACATTTTATAAGTACACTGTAAAAAATGATTGTGATTTTAACAGTAAAAGACTGTAAAAATGCTACAGTAAAAACCTTTTAACTGGTTAACAGTAAGTTTCCATGCTATATTCGGTGAATAAATGTAATTACATTTAATGTGATTCTACAGTAAAATACTGTTAAAAATACGGTTTTTGGAAGTGAAAAAGAAAAAGTCCTTGTATAATTTACAGGGAAAAACCGTAAATTGACACTCCCAGAATTCCCTGCATGACACTTCATATTTGATGTTTTTTTGTTGAAATAACATGTTTATTTTTATTTTTTTCTTATCAGTTGTGTACACTAGGGTTTGATCTTACATCTAATGTTGTTAAATGAATGATTACTGCATTATTTCAGTATCATGTGTGTTACCGTGATGGTGTTTAGTGTTTGTATGAATGACACTGTGCACCTTCTATACAGAAGTATTGTCCTCCTCAGCTCGCAGACAAACTGTTTGTGATGAGCTTTAGTTCATCATGTGACTTTCTCATCACCACCAGTTTTTGGTGGTTATCAGTGCATTACAATGGTTCAAAACAGATTTTAGTACTTAAATATGTTGGTTTATTAACATTACATCAGTTAATGAAATACGGTATTTTATTGTGAATTTAGATTAAGTCTGTAAAACCTAAAATGTTGCTACCATATTTTTTATGGTGAAGTTCTGGCAACCACAGCTGCCGGTATTTTACCGTAAATGTCACAGATTTGTTTTTACAGTGTATCTTGTCAAGTTACAGCTGTTTAATATGAGCAATAGCAATAATGATGCTTACCCTAGCAAAATATACATTTCTGTAATGAAGCTATCTAGTTTAGTCATTAAGAAACAGTTGATTTGGATTTTGTTAAATTTACATAACCCTAAACTGTTCTGTGTTATGCACAGACTTGTACCTTAGACAAGAATCCCAACTGATTAAAGACCGAAACAACACATTCATAACTTCACCTTAGACAAACACACAAGCTGGCAATGTAATCCGTTAGAGCGCACGGTGAAGTATGTCTGTTAATGTGAGCGTGTTACACACACGCTGAGATACTTCTGAAATGCCTTTTAGGAACGTCAGCGTGTTGCTGTTGTGAGATGCATTACCTTTACTGTGCCGGGACAAACACAATGAGAAATGTGGGGATTCCCTTTGACAGAAACAAACAAAACCCGTCCCACCCACTTTACACGCGTGCATCACTACATCTGTACAAACTGTCATAGTCCAGTGCCTCTGACTAATGCCCATTGAGAGTGGGATTAGAGAGCGGCAAATAAATAATGTGCACAGAACAACAGAGTAATCTCAGTAATCAGAGCTGTGTGCAAACAGGGACTTTTGTTGTAACTGAGAAGTCATAATGTTACATAGTCACTGAATACAAAGAAGCACTGAGTGAAATATGATTTTCGAGTAGCTTTCATTATGGGGTGGATAAAGGCAGATCACATTCCTGTTCTCCAGTCTTTAAAATGTAGAAACTGAAATTCATTGGTAAGAGATTTTTTACCTCTGGATAAATATCAGGCTAAATACTTAAAGGCAGCATTCTATCATTTAGGGTACATTTCACATAAGCAAAAAAGTGTAAAAACAACATGCTTTCACAATAAAACAACTATTGCTTTCAGCTGATATATTTTATCAGTGTATCTGCTAGTTGCCAAGCTTAGTCATTAAACACCATTTTGATATTACAAAGAAAAAGATGTTTTCCCTGGTGAGTTTGTCAACTATGTTATGGACAAACTGTATGGTTTTACAGGTAACATAGTTGACAATTTCACCATTTTGACTCATGATTTCAATGGCAGACCTTTTCTGGCCAACCAAAGGTTATTTTCTTGATCAGGTTAACCTCGTACTTATTTATTAATTAAAAAAAAAATGAAATAATAAAAATATTGCAAACCATAACAATGTACCCAACATAGTTTACAAGCAATTAGACTCCATGAATATAGGTCATTGGACATCAAATATAGATACAATTTACCATAATTTGTTCAAAATGTCCACTGCAGAAGAAAATGACATCACATGATGCTGGTCACATGGTTTTGTAATAAAAATTTTTTTTAGTTTTCAGGGTTGTTTGGTTAGTATTTTTGTGGACATGAGCGAAATGAAATATTTTTTTTTATTTGAAAGAAAATACTCTATTTTTAAGGTATTTAGATAAATAAATTTGATATATTTATAATCTTGACTTGACTTGAAATTTTTGTATTCATTGTTCTGAACTCAAGACTCACAAAGCAGACATTGCAAACACTGTAATTTAAGGGACATAAAGAAAATTTCAAACAATCTGAAAAACAGTGTTCACAAAATATATGCATGAGATTCTAGTATATATGTGACCCTGGACCACAAAACCAGTCTTAAGTGTAAATTTTTCAAAGTCTCAATCATCTGAAAGATGAATAAATAAGCTTTTCAATTGATGTTTGTTTTGTTAGGATTGGACAGTATTTGGCTGAGATACGACTATTTTAATATCTGGAATCTGAGGGTGCAAAAAAATCCAAATATTGAGAAAATCATCTTTAAAGTTGTTCAAATGAAGTTCTTAGCAATGCATATTAATAATCAAAAATTAAGTTTTGATATATTTACGGTAGGAAATTTACAAAATATCTTCATGGAACATGATCTTCACTTAATATCCTAATGATTTTTGTCATAAAAGAAAAATCTATAATTTTGACCCATACAATGTATTGTTGGCTATTGCTACAAATATACCCCAGATATACAAAAATGTTAATTATCATCAATGGATATAAAATGTACCCTTAATTATACAATGACTCGATGAATTCCCTTTGATTCTCTTATTGTAGGCCTACCTTTATCCAGCACTGGTCCAAAGATGGCCAGGTTGTCATTAATAGTCGTGCAATTCCATCTGCGGCCTCGGAACTGATGCTGACACTCTTGGATGCCGATTTTCACCCCCTCTGCCACGCTAGGCATGATTTCCACATAGTTGCGGCAGAAGCGGAGCTGTTTGGGAACCAGACCAGGAATTGAGCTGCACAGGATGGGCTGAGTACCCAGAGAAGTGTACTGGTGTCCCACCGCCAGAGACCTGCCGAGGAAAACACGGAGGTTAGCCGTTGACTGCTACAGTTTTTGGCAGCACTTAATTTTGTACTTACTATAGTAATTACGGTAACACTTTATTTTAAGGAGAAATTCTCACTATTAACTAGCATGCATATTACTAGCATATTGACTGTTTATTACTGCTTATAAAGCACATATTAATGTCTTATTCAGTATGACCATATTTTAAATGCCTTCCGACCCTATACCTAAATTTAACAACTACCTTACTAACTAATAATAAGCAGAAAATTAGGAGGTTAATGAGGCAAACGTCGTAGTTAATAGTGAGAATTGGACCTTAAAATAAAGTGTGACCGTAATTACAATAGCTGGGTATTAACTTGGAACTAACCCTACGTCCAATCCCAAACCTATCCTTAACCTTTGTTAAGTCCATTTAGTTACATTTGAGCTCTTTTTTTTAAAAACTTTTTTGATAAGTTGATTTTTGAAAAATTATTTTTGGCATAAAAGAAAAATCAATAATTTTGACCCATACAATGTATTTTTGGATATTGCTACAAATATACCCCAGCGACTTAAGACTGCTTTTGTGCTCCAGGGTCACATTTCATGCTGGTATCTTCAGTCAGGATTTAAAATAAGCTTAATTTTGACCCTCCTTTACTAACTACTCCTATTTACCACATTATCACGGGTGTATCATTTACAAGTTAGCTGAAAAAGCCAGAAAAGTGTAATTTGAACAATTATAGGATCAAAGTGTAACATGTGTGGATGGACTCCATGTCCTAAAATGAGGAGATCAATCTAACACTTGGCATTGTATATGTATCATACCAGTTCAAAAAATGTAGCAGCAGGAACTATTGTTGCTTGTGTTGTTTGAACCTGTCATAGGCATCGAAGAGCTTTGGCTTTGTGGGAGGGGTTCGGATAAAGCCATAACACGTTGCTAAGTGATGAACAAACATGAAAGCCCCAGCTGAGACAGGAGCAGTATACTGATCAAGGATTCACAGTGCGGGACAGGTACCTTGTCATTAAGGGCCACCGACATCCTTAAACTGTCCAAAAGTGAAATAGGTCTGTGGCTTGCTGTAATGACACAGTGTGCACTGGTCTGGCTGAGCATCAGAGGATGCTTGACTTATGTTAGTTTGAACTCGACCATTCTTTGATGACACACGGCTCAGATGCGACTCATGTGCTGACATGCTTTTCACTTACAATTCAGAGTTTCCATTGCACTGTTGTGGAAAGTTTGTCAGTTTGTCAGTCGGTACTAGGTGTTTTGCTACTGTTTTTCTACTTTGTTGTCATCAATTTCAAATCTAACATATAATCTGTATCCTAACTCTACCTTAACTATGATAAATTAGTACAAGACTTAGTGTATCTGAAATGCTAAAAACTCACGTTAAGAACAAGACACATCTCACCATAACACCTCTCACGATTTCAGAAACAAGATTTTAAAAAAAATCACATTATTTTAGATAAACAACAACAAAAAATATAACTCAATAGTGAGTTTGTAAACTGAATATGTGTAAACTCTTTGAATGAAAATAAGCTTAAGCATGTGAAGTTGTCACAGCAACCACCAACAAATGTTGTCACGAGCAACTGAAAAGGTCACTAGCATAGAAATATGTAAGCAGAAGCCTCATTCGTTAAGGTGCACATATTAGCGTCAGTGTTCACGCATACGTAAGAGTGTTGTACATGGGTTCCGCAAGCTGTTTGTCCAATGGATTTCAAAAAGTGGTAGGGAGCGAATTGGAAATTGGCAAAAAAGTGGTGGGAGCACGTCCCACCAATCCCACAAACGACACCAATGCACTCTATTAAAGGACTCTTTTATTTTATTTACCATTTAGTATTTTTTTTTCCAATTAAAATAAATTTTACAGAAATGTAAGAATAAAAAGGAATAGTTGTATTAATCATACAAGGCATACTTGCTTTATGTTAACTATGAAGGGAACAGAATTACAGTTAAAATAGAATTTTCAAATAGTTTGGACACACTTCCGTTTTAAGCCCCGCCTACCTCCGGGACTATTGTGATCACGATTTCTGTTTCTCTGGATTTATTAGTCGTCAGCGATATTTGCTTTTATTCAATAATTGATTTATTTGTAGCGGCATTTGCGTTATCTTGCAACAAGCTTTCACAGGCTTTCATGGTTGCGGTTGCCAGATGTCAAGAATTTAAATCAATGAAATCAATGAAAGTCTAATACAGACAATCTGTTTTCTTTCACTCGGTCGTTTGTGCGTGCGGTGACTAAATCTGCGTCACTAAAAATTACATTCTTGTGATTTGTGGCCTACGTGAAATTGCACTCATTCTGATGAAACGTAAGTGCAATCAGCCCTAATTTTGGATATTAAATATTAACATATTTTAATAATACATATTAACACATTTTAATGTTTACAGTTAAAATAAAAGCGACGTGTCTGTGAAGGTGTGAGCAGTCTCAATTAGCTGTGCGTGTTGACCTGTGTTACGAGCCGATTACTAATCACAACATGAGGGCCCCTCAGTGACCCCTGACCGGCAATGATTAGACCTGTAGGGCTCTCTCAATGACAAAGACTGTGACACTCCCTCATCAGCTGATGCACCTCTAACCGGTTCCTATACCTGCTGCATTCCACAACACTTCCTCTCATCCATTGTTCTGAGAGGGAAGTTATGGATCTCTGATTGTAAAGGAAATGAAAGATGGCTTAGATCAACCATGTTGGCCTAAAGCATGAATTTCATTCTGTGTGATTATAGTAGGCTACATCATTTGGATTTTTGAAAAGAGTACAGAAAGTACTTGAACTGAATTATTGAGAAATTGAGACTACTGAATTATGCTTGAGACTCTTTGATGTCTTTCTATGACTGCTCTTGTCTAAACTGACTTCAATAGATTATGCTTTGTACAAGTTGATCCCTGGCATTATTTTACTGTGAGTCAGGCCTTTTTACATCTTTCTCGGTAAGGAGCTTAATCTGAATTTTACTTTAAAGTCTAAGGGAGCACAGAACAAGAGGGAACTTGAATGAAACTGGCTCGAGAGAAGATCCAAACTTCATCTTGCAAGGTGTAGCGAAACTATGAGGATTTGTTCACTAAGTAATTCCTATTACAATTTGACCTTTTCTTAGCCTTTGTCAGTCCTTTGCCTCAGGGGCCAAGTAGCCTCTCAAACCAATGGCACGGGACGTTTACGCCCGCCCCGTCTGTCTCACGCTGTTGCATGCATTTCTTTTACATGCATACAAATACACAACCAACCCTCAGTGCTACCCAAGGGCAGAACTAGGGGGTGGCTAGGGGTGGCCGTGGGCAAGACTGACCGATGCTTGAATTGCGATTAAAATATCGGTCAGATGCCGTTTCTGTCTCTTTTTTCTTTACAAGGATTGAGCTCATTTAAACCTAATACTGTCTCTTTATAGCCTCAATACACAGGAGACAGATAGAACTGTTGCAATTAATTTATTTTGAGAACTTATCGAATGTTAAAAATTCAGTGATTAATTTCTCAGTATGTTTTTGAAAACATTAATTGATTATATATAATTGAACGAAGGTTGGCTAATCTTTGAACGCTAGTTATCTGCATGTCTAATCCATGAGGATGCAATGATGGAGAACAAGCTGTTGAGAACCAGAACCAAGCTGATTGAGCAAGCTCAACTTGAGGTGTGGAATAAGACAAAATGGTCAAATTCACTCAGTATAACTTGATCTACTCAATCACAATACAATTAAGTACATTAATATTTAGTTGTGTGGTAGGTACTAAAACAGTCCAGTAGTTTTATATTTGAACTCATTTTTATGTTGAACACTGGTGCAACCACAAGCACTATCCTCAAATAAAACAATCGGATAAATTGCACAAAATTATGCCCAGGTTGCATTTAACCCCAAAATCAAAAGATTATTATTATTTTTTTTTTGTAATTACCATTATTCTCAGTAGTGATTCTCCAGTGATTCTAAATCTTCATTACTGTCATTCCTAAAGGGGTCATATGATGTTGCTAAAAAGAACATTATTTTATGTATTTGGTTTAATGAAATGTGTTCATGTGGTTGAAAGTTAAAAAAACACATTATTTTCCACATACTGTACATTATTGTTTCTCCTCTATGCCCTGCCTTTTCTGAAACGCGTCGATTTTTACAAAACTCATCGGTCTGAAAAGCGAGGTGTGCTCTGATTGGCCAGCTATCCAGTGCGTTGTGATTGGCCGAATACCTCAAGCGTGTGACGGAAATGTTACGCCCCTTACCATACTGTTGATGCCGTGTCCGGCCGGAGCGACGAGACAAAAACATTAAAACCCATTATAAACGAGGCATTTGTTGCATCCAGTGGGGACATAATTACTGATTATAATTACTTATACTGTCTTTTTACGCGTTGCGTTGCATCGCGCCGCGTAAACATAAAACCATGTCTGCATTTGTGATCAACAAGTGCTACTCTACGCTGCTCAAAACTCGCGTTTGAATCGTCTGTGGCAAATCCTTTAAATATGAAAACGTACTTACAGGCTGTGAGTCAGCATTATTTGTCAGCATCATAGACTGTATAGGGTCAGTGTGCGCACCGAAGGGGAAACAGGGGAACTGAATTCACCGGAACACCGGCATTGTAGGCTACTCTCCCAGGAAACAATCCTCGTCCTCCGTAAAATGCGCTGCACACATCTGAATATTTGGGTTGAAGTGTTCTGGAACAGTGTTGTAAATACAACTTAACCACTGATTTCTAGTTGTGTCCTCTTTTGGAAGACCAAACTAAGTAATTTCGCTTTCACAACGAAACACACAGCGTCTCCACGATATGGCGGCGGCGGCAAAAATACTACAGCGAGAATAAAAGTCACACCTTCTTTCTTTGCGTGAACATTTGGGCGGTGTTATGCAAATCTTCCCACACTGTGATGTAGACATGTGGGGGCATGTTTAAACAAGGCTTTTTAGGAGGGCGTGGACGAGTCTTAACTTTTATAAAGAATATCTCTTTGGGTTTGAGACTTTAGTGTTTGCAACTTCAGGGATCTTATCTATTCACTAACAGCTTGTAACACTCCAAAGAGAAAGGAAAACTTGAAATCGCATCATTGACCCCTTTAAGATGAATTATAGAAAAAAACTACAGTGTAATGCAATGAAGTTTATTTAAATTAAACGGTACAACAAATCTTGAGTACATAGTTTTTTCACCGTAATCAGAGATTTACAGTTTCACTTGAGCTGTAAATGAGATTCATAATTTCTTATTTGTTTATTTTTATAATTTTTTTATGGCATTGAGAAGTTTCATTATATTCTCCCAAAATGCCAAGAGAGGCTACGTTACAATCATTTCACCACAGGTAAGCCTTGATTAAGGACTTCAGGTATACTGCAGTCAAGACTAAAGTGATAATTAATAGGCTCTGTTGACGGCTAGAATCACCACCTCATACTTTGGTATTGTACTTTGCCAGAAGCTGATGAATTTGAGACGTCACCACCGCTGAGTGAGGTGAACAGGTGTTTCAGTGATATGTCCTCGTGCTCAGCTGTCTTGGGCGTGTGTCTGCCCCGTCATCTGTTGTAGCTCATGATACTGAGATCACCATCATTTAGTAAGAACAGAAAACTCGGGCTCTCTAAAAACAAATAAAAGCACATTTGGCCAAAACAAATTCATTGTTACTGCACTGAGATTGGATAAGCTGGTATTTCTTGAAGAATATGTAGATAGAATCCAATGCAACACAAGCATTTATAAGGTTGTTATGATTTGCATTAGCCGTGTGAAATGGCTATTATTTGAACCAAGCTTGTGCCAAACTTAGCGATATCCCAAACGAAAGGATGACAAGCTGACATCCCCCCTGGCAGAACAGTACAGTCTTTACCTCCCCGAAATCTCTTAAAGCCAGGTAATTAAAAGACAAAAGGACAGAAATGAACATTCCGTTTGCTCTGGAGTCTTAGATATATTTGCTCACTTTTCATCTGAAGTGTATCCAGTCTAGGTTTTAATGCATATTTCAGCAAGCCCAAGCAAGTGCACCTCTGAATTACCACTTTACTTGTAGGCCCTGGGGCCACAGAGCTGACTTTGACATCAAGAGAGAACTGTTTTGGAGAAGGAATGTGCAGCAAGCTTTCACCTCCAGGTATTTATCTTTTAAGGTGGAGCGCAGGGGTGGTGGTGCAGTCAGGCAACACTATGTCATGAGGAGATGCAGGAAGCCATGAACCTGGTCTTTATACCTGACCCACATCAAAAACCTACTTCATAGTGTTCTTCACAGTGCTACCAAGCAAAACATTATCCAACAGTACATGTATAGATACACCTGCACTGGACACCAGGACATCAGCAGTCCTGCATTAAATCACCGCGGTCATGACTGCAGGTTATCATATCACATAACTCTCTCAAGCTGAAGAACCGCAGGCCACTCTGCTGAGATAAATTGCCCAGCCATGTTTTCATGTATATGCACCTTCTGTTAGGGGAAACCGAAACTCTGTGGCTTGTTTCTTGGGAAAAATAAAGAACAATCTGTCTACCTAAAAACGGAATCGAACAAACTTCAATGACTTTATTTATACCGCTGTCAAAAGCTGATTGTTTAAACCAAGAGAAACTGGCACATTCAATCAGAAGCAGTCGTTTCAAACAAAGTGAGGCAGTACATTTCACATTAAAAAAGAATAAAAAACAAACACTATAGACTGATCTAGGTCAAACTTGACACTTTCTGATACTTCTCACAATTTACCATGAAGCTGAAGTTGAGGCTGGAGCTGAAAAAAAAAAGTCACTCCAGAAGCAATGAACATTTTGTACAGCTTGACAGCTGATGGTGAGATGGTTGACAGCTGGTGGTGAGATGGTTATATTGATTATTTGACAGTTTGATACCTTGATGGTAAATGTTCTGTACTTCTATTGCACACCCCTGAGCTTGAAACAGAAGAACACTTAAGCATTACTTTTTAAAAGAGTTCATATTATGGAAATATCATACTTTAAAAGAACATATTTAATTGGGTTTCTAAAAACATTACATTGTGTTCAGAAACCTAATTGCATGCTATTCACAATTAAATGAAAGGTTAAAGTTATATTAAATGCAATGAGTTGAATTTAAGAGTGTTTTGACCCAATTAAGTACATCTTAATATGTAATTTCATAATTACTTTTATTGTCTTTGAAATATGGTCAAAGTGTACAAGTGTTGAAAGTACTGACAAGCATTTATGGTAAATTGAAATATACTTTAATGTAATTTCTATTGAAACTTGTATGTCATGTATTTCAACGTATTTGTAATTACACATTAATTATGATGTTGTAATTGAGCTATTTAGCTTTAACTATTTTTTAAATAACTTCACTGCAGTTAAAATTACAATCAAGTACTTTACGTGTGCTTTAGTCAGCACTTAAAAATAAGTGTTGCTCTTCAAAAGATTATTAAACACATTATTAAAACAAATGAGTTAAAATGTTCTTTTAAAGTAAAACTTTTCATTTGATTTTTCTATGCGCTTTTTAAATGTGTACTTAAATGTGTTATGAAACATAGCCAAGAAAGTGTATTTTCTTTAAGAGTGGTCTTTTATTTCATTATCTGCAAGTACAGTTTAAAAAATATATATATACTTGTAAGATTCGAAGTATATAGGCTAACAAGTGCACATTCAATACAATTAAGCACAATCTTTTTCCACAAGGGTTGGCGGCTCATAATAAGCAACTGAAGTTTCTGGATGCTGTTCTCTGAACTGGCATTGTGAACGAGAAGGAAAGCAGAGCTTTTAAAATTTCATGAGGGTCAGACAGACAGCAATTAACAAAAAAGAGCAGCCTGGACTGTGACTAATGACCTACTCAATTACAGCTTTTACAACCACTGAGAAAACTCTGCTTTATTGTCTTGCCTCCCTGAAACAATGATCTTTTAGGTTTGTGAGTGAAATCGGTGGAGAACACCTTGAATGTTTGTTGTGTCAGTTATGAACATTTCTTTTTTTTGTACAAGCATGAAGTTATTTTAAGAGAATATTTGTAAAGAAATACACTGAGAATTCCAGTGGATTTTTAGAAATATGTTCTCAAGTGAAAATGCAAATCTGCATATTCTTAACAATCAACTAGATGTGTTTAAAATAATTTTCCGACCTCACCAGCCACAATCGCCGATTTTACTTTATTGTCATTATTATAGTAAGTGGTTTAGGCTTATTTCAGATTTAAAATACAATTTCATTACAACTAAGTGTTCAAAAGCCTATACAACAATGATGATAAAAAAAATAACAACTCAAATCGAATTCTGAATATGCATGAGGCTAATTTGAATGAATGCAGCGAAAGCGAAATCTCTTATTAACGAAACTAATTGAACAGCTACGTTAACAGCATTGATTTATTATAACTAACATGTAGTACAAATAGCCTATCATTTCCTCACATAGGTTTGATTTAAAGACAACGCGGTTTGACGTCCAGCCTGTCTTAAAATATCACAAAAATTCAACATCTGAACCACTGAGAATTTTTAAAATGGTTAAACCTTTGGGTCAATGAAAATAACTAATTATACTAACAATTACAGTGAATGGATCGAACGTTTTAATTAATACATTGGACACGCGTTACACTTATCATAAGGTCTAGGTTGACAAAAGTTGATCCTGCAATGTACTTACAAAACGATTAACAGGTGCACGACAGACAGACAGATAGACAGACAGACAGACAGACAGCCAGATAGATAGATAGATAGATAGATAGATAGATAGATAGATAGATAGATAGATAGATAGATAGATAGATAGATAGCGTTACCGATTATCAAATCAATATCGGTATTAGTTAGAAGTGAGGTCAAAGACATTTTCAATCCCCCAAATCATTGTCAAGTTGAAAGCTTGTCATTTACCCTTTCTAGACTACCAAACTCATTGTATTTAACAGAGAAAGGTTAAAAAAGTCATAAAACTCACCACCATATCGGGTAACTTGCCATGACGCGCGTGAGCCCACAAAAAAGAAACAGGAAATATCCAAGATATATCATCCTTTAAAAAGTTAGGCTTAAACAGACACACACACACACACACGCACACGCACACACACACACATACACACCCACACACACACGCACGCACGCGCGCACCCACACACACACTCGCCCGAGTGTGTCAGTGAGAAAACGCGAGGTGATGATGAGCGATATTTCTCTCCGATAATCCTACAGCGTTCTCCTGCGCGCGGTTATGAGGCGCATATTAAAGTTGAGAGCAGCTTTGCGTTTGGACCCAATCACAGGCTTTTGCCACGGGCCAAATTCAGATGACAGAGTCACTCAGGCAGCCTGAACCGCAAACGCTCGGGACACGCACTGTTTTAATAGTTATTGGGACATGCAAGGCTTTGTGTGTTATATATACATAAGGTTGTCTAAGGGTGGGTGGGGGGACCCCTGTGGATTGGGTAGCTATAACAACCTGTCCGGATTTCACCCCCCGGTTTAAAGCCCCTCATTCGCAAAAATGAAAACGTGTGAATTGCTTGCTTGCCTTGTGTTAGTTTTTCTTGCAGTATTGCTTGCTTCGCTGTGTTCAAATGATTCCAATCAAGCTGTTTTGTTATTTAAAAAATAAATACAATAATTTGAACCTTTAAAAAAAAAATAAACGTTTAAACGCTACATTAATAGGCTAAATGTCAAGATACTAAACCCTAATTTGCTTCCAAATAGACTTTGCAGCATTTCAAATAGCTACATAAAATCCAAATAAAACTTTTAAACACGGGCAATATTGCTCGGGATAAAACTGATCTGTCCATCTTATAACAACTTTAACTGAAACGGTACGTGCATGCTAAGATCATGAAATTGATCAAAATTGACTATTGATAATCATAATGATTATAGTATAAAGAAAAATAATCATAATCTATGTTATAGCCTAATAATACAATTATAGCTATAGGTTATAACGCTGTTTTTCGCCGAATAGGACACTTTCTTTTTATATGCAGATGTTGCAATATTTCTACAAGTTTCAGAGTAAATTCCATCAAAGCACGTGTTGTCTTTCCGACTGGACGTGTGTTCATCGTGTGCATTCATATTCACTGATCCTCTACACACCTGCTCAGATGCGGTTTGTGGTGGAACAGGTCCTTTATTAGCCTACAGAGATCTACAGGAGACGCTCACATCGAGTAAAGAGGAAAAGCTAATTAACGAATGAATGAATCTCACGTTCTCCCTCATCATAAAGTCATGTTACGAGTCACTTGCTCGAATCCTTTCCGACTATTAACCGCTAAATAATATTGACCAACTGTTGCATAAAACTGCATATTTCTTTAACATAATAGGACACTAGTCAAATAACAAGATAACAGGTCTCCTTAAGGGCCTGCATAGACTTTTAAATGTATTCAAAGGTCAAAGAGACTTTTAACCATTTCTTAACAACTCGTGTTTTTGCTGTATAATATTTTCATTCATTCATTCAGTTTCATGCATTCTTTATTTAACGACTGCAGCTAATGAGTTACATGTGCAAGACTGCGTTCAAGGTTCAAACACATTTCTGTTTCATATGTCTCCATCTAGTGGCAATGAGCAGCATCAAACTCGATGTTGCTCTTTAAGTTGCTCAGCACAATATTTGAAATTAAGCTAATATTTTGACAGAGTGAGTAATGGTATCGTCCATAAGCATCAAATTGTCATTTCTTCCACATCTTCAGTGCCAGTGAACGTTGTCAATGTTCCTATTAACATCTGACCTGACCAACCTATGCCAATGTTGGGTCAAATATGGACTTACCCAACTGTTGGGCTAAATTTTGGTTACATTTTTAAATGAGCTTTTTAACCCAACAGTTGGGTTAGTCCATATTTGACCCAACATTGGGTTGAAACAACCCAGCATTTTTTAGAGTGCTATTGGAAAAGAAATGTTATAATAGACAAACAAGATTTAGCCTACACTTTAGTCCCTAATGCTTCACAAAAATACTGACAGATTACTTGATTTGTGAATTACTACAATTAGTAAAACTAAGAATCCTGTCTGTAATGAAGAAAGCCGTGTTGCCTTGGGATATGCACGGTGAAATATCTCTTCCTGACAAATCAGCTTCCTGGTATGACAGACATTTATTGCCATTAAGTCAGAAACTAGTCATTTCTGGAAGTTATTTTGAATGCGTCTGTGTTGTAATAAGTGACTCGCCTGTGCTGAATGAGAAAATTAACTTTTGGATTAGATATTCATTAATGGAATGGTTTACCCCAAAATAATATATAATAAAATTTAATATATAATACATATTATTTTTTATAAAAATAATAAATAAAACAATAAATAAAAATAAAAAGTAGGCTACATAATAAATAGAGTACTTTTTTGGGGGGTGAACTATTCCTATAAGCTTTGAATAATTCATATTTAGTAAAAACTGATTAGTGGTGTTGAAGAGATAGCCTACAGGTTTCCAGGCAGAGCATAATAAAAATACACATTATTTGAAGACTGCATTTCTTTATTTGCACAACCAATAATCCATGCATTTAGTTTGGTCATAATAAACATACTCTTTTTACATGCAGACACCCATTCGTAGGGTGTTGGGAGGTGTTCTGTGAAAGTAAGTTCTGTGTTTGACATAGAGTGTGTTTTTACTTTTTATTTCTGGAAAAGAGACAGCAGAGGTGTGAGTCGAGGTGCTTTTTCCATCATCATGACCTCACAGGCAGAGTCAGCACTGAAAACAGACTCAAATGACATGAACAACGTCAGCTGCTGTCCCGTCCACAGCATCAATAGTGGAGGAGAAATATGAAACAGACAAAAATGTATGAGGTTCTGCTTCAGAGTCCAGCTAACAGAGCTTGAACAGGGTGAGGTGTTGGTTACAGTATGTGGGCACAGTCTCAGCTCTATTATTCCAGTCATGAGAATGGAATATGATTAATATTGCCCCCAGGTGAGTATGAACTCAGCGAACCTTCACACTTTTTCCTCCGTACTCAACATGACTACCGGATCATGATGACAAAGTTTTTCTAAAACTTCTTGACATTTGGGACATTTAATAAAGGGGTTATTATTATTATTTTAGAATGTTCCTTGAGGACCACTAATGCACTTATATGTAAGGTTTTTACATAAAAAATTACATCCTAATTTAGAAATAGTTGGCCATATTCTGTTTTGGTTTTGACTGTCTGGTTTGAATACTGCTTTTAAAGGGACGTGTCTCCTTTAAGACTTCAACGTAAACGCATGTAACAACATGGAACTGTTGAAATACGATTACAATAACAGTTGCTTAGATTAGCTAATGTAAAGTGTGGATTTAAATGTTTCTTTGAACACTGTTTTTTTGCAGCATTGAACAATTGCTCTTTCACAAATTCTCTCACCGTAACCAACAAAGTGTAGAAGCTATGTAAGTGTGAGATTTATTATACATTGGAGAACTTGTGCTGAACTATAGTTATTGACAGCTCCAGCGATTATAAAGCGAGCATTCTTTGATAGTTTTTTGTATATTATCACAATTTAAAGGGGGTCATATGATGCGATTTAAATTTTTCCTTTCTCTTTGGAGTGTTACAAGCTCTTGGTGCATAAAGAAGATCTGTAAAGTTGCAAAGACTAAAGTCTCAAATCCAAAGAGATATTCTTTATAAAAGTTAAGAGTCAGCCACGTCTACCTAAAACGGCTCGTTCTAACACGCCCCCACATTGTGCAAGACTGCGTTCAAGGTTCAAACACATTTCTGTTTCATATGTCTCCATCTAGTGGCAATGAGCAGCATCAAACTCGATGTTGCTCTTTAAGTTGCTCAGCACAATATTTGAAATTAAGCTAATATTTTGACAGAGTGAGTAATGGTATCGTCCATAAGCATCAAATTGTCATTTCTTCCACATCTTCAGTGCCAGTGAACGTTGTCAATGTTCCTATTAACATCTGACCTGACCAACCTATGCCAATGTTGGGTCAAATATGGACTTACCCAACTGTTGGGCTAAATTTTGGTTACATTTTTAAATGAGCTTTTTAACCCAACAGTTGGGTTAGTCCATATTTGACCCAACATTGGGTTGAAACAACCCAGCATTTTTTAGAGTGCTATTGGAAAAGAAATGTTATAATAGACAAACAAGATTTAGCCTACACTTTAGTCCCTAATGCTTCACAAAAATACTGACAGATTACTTGATTTGTGAATTACTACAATTAGTAAAACTAAGAATCCTGTCTGTAATGAAGAAAGCTGTGTTGCCTTGGGATATGCACGGTGAAATATCTCTTCCTGACAAATCAGCTTCCTGGTATGACAGACATTTATTGCCATTAAGTCAGAAACTAGTCATTTCTGGAAGTTATTTTGAATGCGTCTGTGTTGTAATAAGTGACTCGCCTGTGCTGAATGAGAAAATTAACTTTTGGATTAGATATTCATTAATGGAATGGTTTACCCCAAAATAATATATAATAAAATTTAATATATAATACATATTATTTTTTATAAAAATAATAAATAAAACAATAAATAAAAATAAAAAGTAGGCTACATAATAAATAGAGTACTTTTTTGGGGGGTGAACTATTCCTATAAGCTTTGAATAATTCATATTTAGTAAAAACTGATTAGTGGTGTTGAAGAGATAGCCTACAGGTTTCCAGGCAGAGCATAATAAAAATACACATTATTTGAAGACTGCATTTCTTTATTTGCACAACCAATAATCCATGCATTTAGTTTGGTCATAATAAACATACTCTTTTTACATGCAGACACCCATTCGTAGGGTGTTGGGAGGTGTTCTGTGAAAGTAAGTTCTGTGTTTGACATAGAGTGTGTTTTTACTTTTTATTTCTGGAAAAGAGACAGCAGAGGTGTGAGTCGAGGTGCTTTTTCCATCATCATGACCTCACAGGCAGAGTCAGCACTGAAAACAGACTCAAATGACATGAACAACGTCAGCTGCTGTCCCGTCCACAGCATCAATAGTGGAGGAGAAATATGAAACAGACAAAAATGTATGAGGTTCTGCTTCAGAGTCCAG